TTTGGCCCCCCCCCCCCCCCCCCCTCCTTTTGGGCAAGAAAACAAGACTGATGAAAATGAAGCTGGAAAAATACAAACATTGAATTTTGGATCCACTTTTGTAACTTGAACAAGTGAAAGAAGATCCGATTACAGCTTTTCCTTCAATTCCTATCTCTCAAGCTAATAATAATAGCAAGGAATGGAAAATTAAAACAAAACCCATAAAATTAAATATGAATTGCATATGATGAGTTAGGAAAAATCAGTATGATTGGAATTCTCGTCCAACTTCAAACCCAGTTCTGAAATTATGAAATTTAAAAAATTCGCTAAAAACACCACTGAAGAAATCATTTTGCTTCAGAAAGAAAGAAGCCGAACGGATAGCCATCAAAGCCACGGAATAGTATGAATTAATGGGATATGGGGACGAAAGATTGGAATGGCAAAAAGTGTACGAGAATCCCACATCGACAAAGCAGAAGTGGAGAGGGCTCGTGGTGTATTATAAAAGCAGACCTGGTGGGACGATATTACATACTTACCTGGACGGGGTCAATGGGCGATCAAGAAGACCCATGGCCTAGGTTGGCGACCTCCATTGCACTTAGGAGGGGCGCCCGCCTAAGGTCGGCCCAAGTGGTCGAGCCTACGTCATAATTTGTGGTAGAGGGGGCCTGCGTTCGCGCGGCCCCTGCCCAATTCTTTAGTTTGAAGGTTTTAATTTTTGGGCCCGTCTTGGGCTTCACAATCGCTTCGTCGAAGTTTGACGTACTTTTATTATACAGATTTGTCAGACTGAAATTCGGGACCTTGTGGGTTAAGTTCCAAGATTTTCGAAAATTACGACGTGAGACATTTTAAATTTTAGAGTCCGGGAGTATGACTCAATTTTTGAAGTTTAATAATCAATTTGTAGATTGTTTTTTTAGCAATATTAAGTACGAATTAGTGATTAATGTGGGGTGGGTTTTCTTTGTAATGAAATATCCATGCGATACTTGACATTCCCCCAATGTAAAGGGAACCAACAGTTCCGCGAGTGTACGAGTAGCATTCGTTGTCAAAAGCTGTGATCTCAACTCGTTCGTATTTGGCATGGTGCAACGTTGCTATCAATAACCATAAGATTCGAAAAATGTATGATATAGAGAGCTTCAATCACACCACTTAGATGACTCAATTAACGAGCTTAAGAGTGACATTGTTACTCCAAACAAAAGAAATACACAATGAATGTACCGGTACAAGAGATCCATATTTAAGAGAGAAAAAATTGATATATTAACTAGAACATGTTTGAGAGTCGAGACATTTTACATGCCAGTGCAACGTTGCTATCAATAACCATAAGATTCGAAAAATGTATGATATAGAGAGCTTCAATCACACCACTTAGATGACTCAATTAACGAGCTTAAGAGTGACATTGTTACTCCAAACAAAAGAAATACACAATGAATGTACCGGTACAAGAGATCCATATTTAAGAGAGAAAAAATTGATATATTAACTAGAACATGTTTGAGAGTCGAGACATTTTACATGCCATATCGTGTATCCTATTTTCAGTATTTGACATATATTATTATATTATTTTTATATTTCTTTTACTCAAATTTTATCTTAATGCGTTTAATCATTAAATGGTCCTGATCAAATTCAAAAACTTTTAAATTTTAAATTAAAACTAAAAATTTATTTCTATATTAAAAAGTAAAGGAATATAACATAGAACAAGAGTGTATAATTTTGAAGTATATCAATCAACATGACAATAGGCATTCAAGTCGTGTCTATATCTCGTATTTATGTTCGAACTTCATAAAATCGTCTGTATAAAAATAAAATTCTGAACAAAATTAAAACAAATATATTACAGGCCTGCTCAAATGGAAGAGAAATGTATAAAAGATAAATGCAAAACGAATATCTGATAATTCGGCGTCTAGTAAGACCCACAACTTATAATCACTTAAATTTTAAATTATTCACCTATCAAACATGCTTGCAGTCTGCAAGTGGAAGCCACGTGTGGCGAAAGCAGTAAAATTTAGAATGTACAAACTTCTCCAAAAATGCAATTTCCACAATGCATATGGAAACATTTAGTTGTCTCCAAAATAACAGAAACATGAATGTTATACGAACCATTCTTGACCTAAAGCGACTCATGTCTTCATCATAGGAGGGATGCAGAACGTTATGTTAAAAAGGCGCTGCCCTGCCGATAAATTTTTTATATTTCTTTTCGTAAATACCATTTTCTACCCACAAATGGCGATGATAGCTTAGAACTAAGGTATTTTGTTTATCAGGAACCTTGGCACTTCAATAGGCACCTAGAGGTTACATGCATTGATGCACAAATCCTAGTAAATCTATCTTCAGTTTAAAAGTCTAGCACACAAACAAAATTCCACTAGATCAATTCTATACAACTCAGGCCAAGTCAACTTTTCCCTTTCCCATATTTCAGGAAGAAGGTTCTTTGGTACCAACAAGCAATCACTAGTTACATTACCAATCAATCGTTAGATTTCAAATCAACAGTTCACTAAAATAGTAAAATGCTAAGAAATGAGGCATTCTTGGTGAGTCCACGTGTTCAGTAAGACTAACATGAGAGGAATGGGAAGACAGGAAGTGTTTAACAGCTGAACAGGGATAAAACCATTTAATACAACAAACAAAGTTCAGATTCAATTTATCAAAACAAAGGGGAGTAACGGAATATCATAGCAAGTTCTAGAAAATCTTTACATAAAACTTGGCCCAACATTGACGAGAAAATGGTGAGTAGACAAATATAAGAATCAACTAACTTGAGCAGATATAACTCACAAGGCCTGCTCGTGATTTCTCAGTCTGATGAAATATTGCAACTAGCCTCTGTATGATCTAAGAACACCTGAAATAGGAAACTGCCATTATTAATAAGAGAACAAATTGTCAAACATTTAACCATTCAAAAAAGTTAAAAATCCACCTTGATTTTCCATTATATTCAAGTAACTTACCAAGAACAACACCTAACTATTGTTGTGTCCCATTATTATGATGTCCTTCATTATTTTCCTTGTGCTGCATCTGATCCTCAACTTGTGGAACCAAAACCATCCCCTCAATCACTTCCTCTATTTTCTCCTCATGCAAATTGTGGTCCTCTGCAGAAGAACCTAAATTAGCAGATGTCTCATTCCCACCAACGCTGTTCTTCTCAACCAGTGATTCTCCATCATTGGATCCAGAACTCACCCTCATGGCCTCGTTATTGTCAACATCCATCAGCACACTACTATCATTCGAAAGCTTTGCAGACACTTCATCTAGTGCATTTATTCCACCCATTTGCTCATTTTCCCTCAACTCCACTGCGTTCAATGCTGCCAATACCTGACTTGAATTATCCACTCTATTCACATTTCCTGTCAAATTAGTCTTCTCTTCCATAACCACCACAGGAGGCACACCACCATTCACGTTTTCACTTCTTGCACCGATGGTATTTTTAGCATTAGTATAATTTTCTCTTGAAACTCGTACACCACCACCACCCAGATGACCCACATTCCCACCACTTTTATCACCACCACCACCACCACCCAAATGAGCCACATTTTCACCGCCACTGGGCCCGGGCACCTCAGGTGATATCAATATACCTGCTTCCTTCTTTCTCACCTTCTCCCTCACGACCAAGTATGCCACATGGTCCAATGCTTCTTTTGCCCTTTTCCTTGTGAAGGCAGCCTCCTTAGCCTTCCGCTCAGCCTCTGCTCTTGCTGCCACAGCAGCCTTAAACATAGAAGCTGCAGCAATCTTTGCTGCAGCCAACAAGATCTTCGCTGAAGTCCTATCAATCACCCTATAAACCTCACTATTTCCAGTCACGTCCAAACCCTCATCCCCGCCAGTAACATTAGCTTCCGTTTCTCTTCTCAAGTTAAAAATTGGAGAGTTTGGGTTAATGCAAAGGGGGCAAGCGTAGTTGTTCCCGGGAGAAGCGGGGGCGGTGACGCAGTAAGAGTGGGAAGAGGAATAGCATTTGAAACATGTGATAACGGAGTCGTGCGTTGTGGAGGGAGGGTAGACCTGGAAGCAGGTGGGGCAGAATGATTGAGGGTGAAGGCGGAGGACACAGGTGGTGCATAGCCGACGAAAGATCCCACGGTGGCGAACGTGGTGGAGCAGACGGCGCTCTTCCAAACCGCAATTGCCGCACGCATTGGCGGCGGAACTGGTGGTGGGATCTTGCTTTATAATCATGTTATTAGAAATTTTTCATTACAAAACAAATCAATGGAGAGAACAATACGAAACTTAATAGATTAAATTCTTCTGACGTATGCGCGCAGAGTACTTACTAGGGTTTCCAGGTAGGGTTTCGCGAAGAAGAAGAAAAATTAGAGCTTTAACGTCCGTTTGATTGTAAAGATGGAATTGAATTGGGTCGAAAACGAATTTCAAGAAATTGAATTATCTAGAATTATTTTTATGGAAATTGTAAATTATTGTGTTTAATTGACATAATTTTTCACGTGAAAAATGTTGAAATCAAAGTATTTTTATGTTAGTTTGACTTTGTTTTATATGAAAATTATCAATTAAAATGATAGAATTTACTGGTATTGGGGATGACATTGGTTTCCATCGCAAAAAAAATAAAAAAAAATTCAAGAAAATCATTTATTTTTTAGTGTTTGTTTGACTTTGTTTTACATGAAAATTATCAATAAAAGAGAAATATTTTTTTACAATAATTTTTAGAATTGGTTTCCATTGCCTTAGGAAAAAAAAAATCGCTATAGTAGCCGGGAATTCCAATTCTCACCATATATGGTGAGAATTGAAATTTCACCAAATCAAGAAATATCACAACTTTCAATAAAAGTTAGAAACCAATTCCATGAAAAATCTTGTGAATCAAACACTATATTTTTGGATAAAAATGAGAAATTTCCACCCATTTCCATGGAATTGGGTGAATCAAACACTAAAAGTACTTCAAGGATTTATAGTCTGCGGAGCTTCCTCATTATGATTCTATCCAACCTGCCTGGCAGGCACCCAATTTTTCAAGTAATTTGCAAAGAAAATTATTATTTAGCCTCGGTTCGGTAGCAATTTTTCATCCTAAAAAAAAATCGATTTTTTTATCGTTATTTCACTATTTTATCCATCATTTTGATTTATTCACTCATAAATAGGACCCACTTTTCTTTCTAACAATCAAAAAATCAATTCACATAATCACTATCGAAAAAGCCCTTAATATAATGCATAGAACACCAAGTATAATATTTTTTGTTGATATCCAACACTAGAATACTCAGTGAATCCACGAAAAAAGAAAAAGAGATCTAAAGGCTCAACTTTAACATAATGGACAATTTTACATTTAGCCTACAAAATTATGGTAAATCCTTGATAGATAAATAACTTTGCTTAAATAATGAAATTTTTTCGATTCGATTTCAAGTTAACGTACTAAATTAATAATCTTTATAAATACATAGAATAATAAATTTTGTTTAAAATACTTGAGGGTTCAGTGAAAATTCAAAATAGTAATTGATTAAGGTGATATAAAACAATGTAACACAACATTTTAAGTACACTTAATTTTCAACCTTTTCTCATTATAAAATAGACTTTTTTGCAAGTGTAGACTTCTCCCATGTTTGGCTCATTGATTTTATAAATACTCTTGACGACTTTTTATCTATACATTTCAAGAAATCCACAAGTACTAATTTATCCACTATTCATTTCTATCTATTTATATAATTTAAACCGTTTCAAACACTTCCCAGAAACTGCTTTAAAAGTATGTAAAAGTACATATATTTATCTTGCTATAGATATCAGCTAAACACATTTTGGTCATCCTTAAGCCCGGGGTGACACAATAGCATCCTAGGTATATCTCATCTGTACACAGTTTCTCTCTCTATCTGCAGTCTCTGAATGTGAGAATATGTAAATATACACAAGTTAGAGTTAGAGAAAGATACCATAAAACTCCAACTCAATGCCAGAGTATTCAATAATATGAAGAAAAGTGAGAAAGAGGTATGCTGATTATTTCAAACAACTTCACAATATACAACTTTTAAAAGTTGAGAATAAAATCGTCTACCGTTGGTGATAAAGTCATCTAAAAATTTGAAGTTGAGATTAACTAGACGGCCAATGGGTAAAGCATCCATAGTTATTTGGTTTTTGAGACATCTTTCACGAAGTAGCTCCTGCGCACGATCAAGACAAGTCAACATTATTGTACCTGCCAGCTCTTTGTATCTAAAATGTGAGGAGGAAAGAGCAAATGCTGTTTTTAGGTCCTGCTCCATTCTACTCTTCACCGTCTTCTAAAATTTTGAAGTTCAAGGGGTTGCGCTAACTGAACATGATTCTCCATCAAGCTGCAAATAAGAAAAGGCTCCAGTCAATGACTAATTTAGTAATTTATTTTTGCAAAGTCGTAATCAGAAGCAGATTCTCCATCTATTTCTTTGATTTCTTTCCTGTTGTTTGAGTGATTGAGACTTGTTGCCTTCACATATGCCTCTACGGATGGCAAAATGAAAACATTCCAAAGACGCTTCTCTTGGCGAGGAACATAGTATGAGTGGATCAGAAATGGAATCTAATGATTATCGTAATAACTTCAAGAATGCATATAATGTTTAACCTAATAATTCAAGACATGTTAATGAACCTTTTTTTATATATTGGCTAATGAAGTCCTGTTAAAATATCAAATGTAGTGGTATCAAATCAAGCTTTCAAAGAACAATGATGGATCCTAGAATTTATAACGTGTAATTATAAAAATTATTCCTTCTCAAATCCAATTTCCAAGATTCAAATTCCAAAATCATACGCAACGCTAACAAAAAAAGTCCAGAAATGCAATAACAAGATCCTTAAAATCCATTAATCAAAAAGACAAATAATTAGGAAATAAATAGATTTCATAAATATATAATTGCTACTAAGAATTTGAACGAAAGCAAAAAGAAATGACTTCCTCCAATCGTGATAAGTAGCTCTTTATAGGCACCGTGTAAACACTAGCTTGTCATTGAAACTATAGACAAAGCCACCGTATCTGAATAAAAATGCATTGTTAAGCCATATACTGTGTCAATTCCCTTTACATCTCCGGAAAGAAATTTTTTTCCGATTATGGTACATAACTATAACTGTCTTCCTATAGTTCCTCCCCCTCCTCCTCCTCTCAAAAATGTGATTAAAAATGAAACATTCTGCAAGACTTTCAGGAATGTTTAAAATAACACAAAACATACGCTCCAAAATATTTCCTCACATTTAGTTGTCTTCACAACTTCTATATTTTCAATTACTCACTAAGCATCGAAGTATCCCTGGGACAATGCCCCACCACATGTCCATGTGCTTTTTGGCACTCAGAATAATTTTTCAATACTATTTGTGGAAATTAAAGCCAACATTACGTTGACAAAAACACCTTTTACTCACAAAATTAAACCAAGAATGTCGGTTCCTAACGAAGGTAGTAGTATTAAGGAATAATCTGCATTTAACATTTGCTCTGTATTATTAAGGAGAACACGGTCTAAGGACGTGGGTAATATCTTTAGTCCACAGGGTTTGATTAGATTATGCAGATGTACTTGATATTATTTGGTGTCCTAAAAACTGTAGGAGAGTCTTATAGCATGTTTGGCTAAGCTCAAAAGCTGCCATAGCATGCTCTTAGACTAGAGAATAGCTTAACTATTTACTCACTTAAGTTGCATACATAGAAACAAGACTTTTAAAAATTTATCTGTAAAGATTTGATATTGTCTTGTGGGAATTTACTGATCGTTGGCAAAGGTGATTCTCTCCTCCTTGGCTTCTTCTCTTTTTCTTCAATGTCTTCCTCCAGTTCAAGCATCCCTATTAAAGCTAAAATACCATTCTACATGTATTTCCAACAGACTAAAAAAAGAAAAACAGCCCAACATTTCCAGGAGATACTTTCTTGGTTATCAATCATCACACCATGAGGACCCCTTCAACTCTGTATTCTCTTTACCTCTCTATGCCCAAACTGTTGTGCATCCTTTACCTATCCTTAGACTCATCCAATCCAATATCATCCCTCATTTTTCACCTTGAAAGTCCTGAAAATCTAGCCATAAAAAACTCGTCCTCGCTGCCTGCTGTAGAAAAGTATTTAATCTTACAGTTATCCTGTGTCGATCAGTTTGTCAGGATTATATATTCTTCAATTGAGAAAGTATTACAAGTTTTACATACAACAGGTTATACCATCTAACGGGGAAAAATATATATATATTAGACGAAAAGATTTGAATATCATCCAAGTTCAAAATTTTGACCCTGTTATGGTCAATATACCCTAGTGCTAGCCCAAAAGTGAAAGCATATAATTTAGATGGTGGGGAACATCATTGTGTATAACAAACCCAGAGTAAATAACCGACAGTTCAAGAACTCTATGGCCTTAATTGTGACAGAGATACCAAGGAGTCATATGATGTTTAACGAAACAAGGCAGCCATATTGATCTGTCATATTGTGGAACAATATCAAATTTTCCATCAGCTAATCAAGTACAGCAAAAGATAAATTAGACCATTGACGAATGCAATTTACTGTATGCCAATAACACTTGCTAAGGAAGAAAAACTAGGCTTTAAAGGTGCTTATCAACTTACTAAGAAAAGAAGGTTTATGATTAATCTAGTGTGAACAGACAGAACTTCAAACATCCACCACAGAACAATATGAAATGCAAAGCAGGACAAGAAAGATTTGATTTGTAGAGCATTTGAATTTAATCGAGCATAACCTTCTCATGATGTAAGAAAACTGCAACAAAAACCATCCTTGACTAGCTTGTTTACAGCATCTCGAAATCTGTAGTAATCCTCAACAGTATTGTACACCTGATGAGAAATCCTTGCATACCCTGTTATTGGATCAATCTCCCCCTCCACTGGCGCCCTATAGTAAATTGGCACCTCAACCCCAAAACACACCCTCAAATGTGTTCTTAACTTTAATGCATCTGCATCACTCTTAATCCCCAAACAAGGGGGCAGTCCCACCATCGCCATACTTGAGCACATATCTGGAGGTGTGCCCAATTCCGTCCCCCATGCCTTCACCAACATCTCCGCCATCTCCACAACCTTCTCGTGATTCCTCCTCATTATCCCCTCAATCCCACCCTCAAATCTACTCACAAACTCCATCACCTCCGGCATCACAAGCTGTGGGCTGTAATCCCTCGTCCCAATCCATGCACTCTCCATTGCCAACCCATTCCCATATTCATGTGAAACCACCGGATGGTGCAAGTCTGATAACTCGTCTGACATCTTGCAATACAAAAATGCCGCAGAGGGTGGGCAAAAGAACCACTTATGCAAATTACTGGTGTAAAAATCAGCACCTATGTCCTTCACGTCTATCTTGACATTCCCTATCGCGTGGGCTGCGTCTATGAAAATCCTACCCACGCCCTCATCTCTACACATCTGAACCAACTCTTTAACGGGAATTATAACGCTAGGCATCGAAGTAATGTGATCAATCACGGCTAATCGAATTTTCCGACCATTTGCTTTGCCCATCTGAAGGGCCTTTCGGAACTCTTCTATAATTTCAGAATTCGATTTAAGAGGGAAAGGAAGGTGAACCTCGATAACATGGCCGCCGGCGCGAGTAATGTACGCTTGAACCGATTTCTTGACAGCCCCATAGGCATAGTGGAGCATAATAGCGGAATCGCCCGGTTGAAACAGGGTCGAGAAAAAAGACCAGGTGGTGTGCTGAAGAACGATGGCGGCGGCAGTTGTAGCGTTATCGACAATAGAAATTTCATCAACATGGTCGGCGTTGATAAGGGTCTTGATAATTTGGCGGGTCTTAAGGATGGAGGGCTTTAAGATGTTGAAATAGAAGTTATCGGGTTGTTCGAGGAAGTGAAGCTGGTGGTTTTGCTGGGCGGCAATAATGGTGGAGGGGCAGCAACCGAAGCTACCGTTGTTTATGCGGGCGATTGAGGGATCATGGTGTGAGAATTCAGCAATAATTTCTGAAGGGGTTATGGGTTTGGGTTTTGGAGTGGCACAATTGAAGGGTTGTAGAGAGGCCATCTGAGCAGTGGGGGTTGGAAGGGCAATGTTTGAGGTTTCGGGAAGTGAAAGTCACAGAGAGATGGAAATTGAGAAGTGCGTAAAATAATGGTTTGATGACAAGGAAGCTACCATTAACAGAGCAGAGAAGACAAAGAAATAGTGTACAAGTGGTATAGGATGGGACAGGAGAAGGGATAGTTTACCGGCGAAGTTTTCGAAAATTATTTGTGAAATGGAAGATTAGTCCTCTTTTAATTGGGTTTTACAAAAAGAAAATATATTAAAAAAAAAATGAAAGGTTTCATTAATACGCAATATTTATTATTTACCCTTATTTAAAATTTATTTTGGTTGACAATTAATAATGCGAATACCTAAGTATAAATAAAAAAAAAACCAAATAATTCAATTTATTCCTCTAAATAAAATAATTAATAATTATTATTGCTTTTGAAAATTAGATCATTTAATTTTCATTAACACAATTATTAGTACACAGTTAATAAAAACATTATTACATACAACTAAAAGAAATAATAATACTACATATATAATTAATTAAAGAATACCAAATGATTCGATTTATTTCCTCTAAATAAGATAATTAATAATTATTATGACTTTTGAAAATTAAGTCAATTAATTTTCACTAAACACAATTATTAATAATTATTTAATAGAAATATTATCACATACAATTAAAAGAAATTATATAAATGTATTTTATTCAGAAAACTATAGCATGTAATAATATTTTTTAATCATTATTGAACATGTGTTCTTGTCTTGATTTATCTTAATTGAAATTAAAAAAAAAAACTGAAAATACTTACAATGAGAATGAAAATCATATAACCACAAGGAAAAATCGAGGTCAAATTTTTTTAAATAAATCAAATAATCACATAAATAAATTCACATTCATTACCCTTAAAGAAATAGTTAATGGTGTATCTTTCGTTAATCAAAATTGAATATTAAGTAACTAATTATTTATATAATGCTTGTTGAAATTCTATATCCTTAATATAAACATGATTAAGAACATTATTGTTTTACATTATTTACATTCATTTGTAACAAATTCTAAAATTTATTCCCATGATGTAAAATATAGAAATGCTTCAAATGTTAACATTATATATATAGTATTAAAACGATAATGTCAATAATTGAAACATTGGCATGGAAAACTTTTAATTTCCATTTTTGACCACCACACTTTTTAATTTTAAATGTACAATAATCGTTACTAATTACCAATTATATTATAAGTCCTAAAATTTAATATAACTCTCCTTCATTTTATCTCCTTTAAAATATAAATTTCATTACCTTATATTAATCAATTTAAGTTTATATATATATATTCATAAGAAAAATATTACAATATATGAAGGCCTGCTTTAATATAATAGTAGATTAATTGTGTTTAAAAAAAATATTAATATAGTGTTGGGTATTTTATTATTATTTCATGTTATTTTTGTATATGAATAAAAACATACAGTAATCCACTTACTTATTACATATCAATTATCTCAACAACTTTAAAAAATGGTATACGAACTTTGCTACACGTACATCAAACTTTACATAATGAGTTACATAATATCATATGTCACTTAATCATTTGCCCGTTTAAAACACAGTCATTTTTTCATCCAATATTTTCCCTCCACATCATTTTATGTAACTCTTTATGTACCATTTTTATATATAAATAACATAATCCATGTATATAATTCATCCAATACATAAGATGTACAATGTACGTACTTACTACTAGTTCTTTCAAAAGAATACATTCTTAAAGTGTGATTTAACATCATTTCAATCACACATTTTTCAATAGAATAATATTACTTTTAAATCAAAAAAAATTTCTTATTTTTTAACCATACATTTCCCATCAATACACTATTCAAAATTACATTTTTATGAAAATAATGTTGCTGAAACAAGGGTTTAATTGGAATCACCCAATTTGAATCATAATTAAACCAAACAGTGAGATCCGATTCAATTCTAATTGAAATCGATTTAATTTTCCTTTCAAAAGAATACATTCTTAAAGTGTGATTTAACATCATTTCAATCACACATTTTTCAATAGAATAATATTACTTTTAAATCCAAAAAAATTTCTTATTTTTTAACCATACATTTCCCATCAATACACTATTCAAAATTACATTCTTATGAAAATAATGTTGCTGAAACAAGGGTTTAATTGGAATCACCCAATTTGAATCATAATTAAACCAAACAGTGAGATCCGATTCAATTCTAATTGAAATCGATTTAATTTTTGGGTCTTAAAATTGAGAGCCTAATACTGATTGATATGGTCATGACTAGAATTGAATCGATTTAATTTTTGGGTCTTAAAATTGAGAGCCTAATACTGATTGATATGGTCATGACAACCACATCATCGCCCTTTAGGTAGTAAGATTTGGGGGAGTAGGACGAACGTAGAAATGCATATCAATACGGCACTTGATGGTGTGGTCTGAGGAGCAAAATGAGGACACTTAGCCACATGGGTCGTGACAAGACGAAAAAGGGTATGGGTGGGAACATTTCGGTTTTAGAGAGAATTAAATCAAAGTATCTTGTAATTGTGGAAACTCCATATCTATCTTTAAGCATGGAATCGGTACGTTTTGATACGATTCTGTATCATAATTAAGAGGATGTTTGATAGACATATTTATGTAAAAATGCATTTTAGAATATTAAATTGATGTGAAATGTGTGGTTGAGAAATAAGGAAATTTTTTTTTATTTACGTGTAATATTATTTTAATAAAGAATGTGTGGTTGAAAAGAAGAGAGAGAAAAATGTATTTTAAAAAAAAATGGCTATCAAACGGGGATTAAATTTTTAACATTTTCATAATTTCAATAACTATTCCATTCTACTAAAGTTTGAAAGAACACAATATTAATCTAACAAGTGAAGGGTTCCATCTTACAAAAAATAATAAACATAGTCTAAATTTGAAAAACAAAATAAGCTATATAATAATATTCATTCACCCATGTGTACAAAGTATGAAACAACAAAACATTAATGTAACAAATGATAAATTGGCAGCGATCATGAATGGGCATATTTTTTTTTGAAAAAAAATTAATTCATTTTAACAAATTTGATATCAAAAATTATAAAAAATCGAAAAATTTGATTACTCAATTTTGGGTCTAGAATCAAATTTTAACAAAAAAA